CCCCCCACCACCACCGCCCCCCCCCATCACCACGTCCCCCCCCCCCCACCACTACCACCCACTTTCATTATCCAGGGGGCCGCGAGATCTCGTCTTGCTCGCGTGGCGTACAACTCCGCTGGATTCCCGGGAGCTTACAGAAGTTGCGACAGTTGCGCCGTTGACAGCCCCCCCCCCCCCCTCGCAATGCGAAGGCTCGTGGTCAAGTCTTGCCAGGCCCATGCTGCGTGTAACCCTGCCATGGTCTAGGCCATCCCTGCCTAGCTCAGCCGAGTCAGCCCAGTCTGAGCCAACTCGAATGCCATGGCAAATTTGGGCCCGATGTCCCAAGGGCCCCCGTCGCATGCTTGAGAAGACGGCCCCGTAAGCCCTGGGGTGGGGTGGGTGTGGGGCGCTTCGCGGGGCCCAGGAACTCGCGCCGCGGGCTTCGGTCCCTGGCGATTTCGGCCGTCGGAGTCGCGCGGCGCGCCTGGAATTCGCATCGCCCCCCCCCCCCCACCCAGGGATGCGCGTGAAGGGCCCTGCGCGTCCAAGTCGCAGGCCACAGGCGGTCGCGAACTGGCCCCAGGGCCCCGCGTGGCAGGCCCCAGGCGCGGCGTCGCAGGCCGCGAGGGCTCGCGTCTTAAGCCCCGAGAGCTCGCGTCGGCGGGGCCATGCCTCGACCCCAAAGCGAAGAAACGTTCTAGACATCATCGTGGCATTCGTTTTCGCATATTTCCACGCGGTAGTCCTCGCAATCCCATCGCGGCGCCCTTCGTTCTTCCGTTCCCCTAACTGTTCCGCCCCGCCCCCGCTCGGCGATGGACGCGTCGCCCAAAATTAATACTTTGCCGACGAAGAATTGTTAAGGATTTTCCAACATGGCCACTTGTGTTTTTTTCCATTCCAGGTCGATGATCATGCAACCAGGGGGCCCGCAGAGTCCCGCCGGTGTCCCGCTGGTGTCCCGCGTGGCTGAGGCTCGGCCGGACGAAATGATTCCCTTCCGGGCGGCCGGGGGCCCGCGGTGTCCCGCCGGTGCCCCGTCGGTGTCCCGATTATGGTGATGATATTGATGATGATGGTGATGATGATGACGATGTTGATGTTTTGTTTTGATGATCGATAGTGAGATCGGTCGTGATATCGATTGTGAGATCGAACGTGAGATCGAATGTCAGATCGCTTGTGAGATCGATTGTGAGATCGATTGTGATACCGAATGTGAGATCGATAATGAGATCGATTGTGAGACCGCATGGGGTATCGATTGTGAGATCGATTGTGATATCGATAGTGAGATCGATAATGAGACCGAATGTGAGATCGAGTGTGGAATCTATTGTGAGGTCGATAGTCATATCGATTGTGAGATCGATCGATTGAGTTAGTAGTGAGATCACTATCGGTCATGGGATCGGTAGTGATTGCGATAGTGAGATCGATGATGCGGCCGAATGTGATATCGATTGTGAGTTCGGTTGTGAAATCGACAGTGATATCGATAGTGACATCGATAATGAGATCGAAAGTGAGTTCGATAGAGAGATCGATAGTGAGGCCGAATGCGAGATCGATTGTGAGATCGATTGTGATATCGATAGTGAGATTGATACTGAGACCGAATGTGAGATCGATAATGATATCGATCGTGCGTTTGATAGTGAGATCGATAGTCAGATCGAATGCGACATCGATTGTGATATCGACTGTGAGATCAATAACGAGACCGAATGTGAGATCGATTGTGGGATCGATTGTGAGATTGATTGCGAGATCGATAGTCAGATCGATTGTGAGATCTATCGATTGATATCGATTGTGAAATCGGTAGTGAGTTCGATAGTGAGATCAATCGAGTGCGACGTTGGTTCCTCCCCCCCCTCACCTCTTTATCACCCGAAGGGTGGTCTATGCGGTACATATTTTTTGAGTCGTCCTCGTTATTGCCTTTGTCGGAGCCGTCGTCATCATCGTTTCCGCCATCTGATCCCCTACCTTCCCACTCTCCTCTTCTGCTTGCGTCAGAACGGGCGCGGGCGAGCACGCGTCCGTCAAACTATTTTTATTTGTCGCGGAACAGCTTGGGCGTAACATGTCGCTCAAGATCGCCCTCCTGTTGCTGTATTTTTTTCCTGATCAACGCATCCCGGTTGTGCAGCGCGCTCGGTGGCAATAAGGTTGTGCGCCGTGCGGTTGGCTGCATTTGTGCGCGGTTGCATTCGGAGGCGTAGGCGCGTCATTCGCAGGCGTGCGTGGCGGGATCCAGGTCGGACATTTCGAGTCGTACCGGAGCCAACATTGGGGCATCTAGGGCTCTGTTGAGGCGATATTGGGCCATCTTGGACGGCTGGTACCCCACGGACCCCAGGGGGGGAGGTAGAGGGAGGGGCCGCGCAATCCCTGCAATGAAAAAGGGGGTGGACAAGCAAGCGCCCGAAACAATTTCCGCTCAGAGAGCCGGGCTAGTCGGCTGCAGGAGGGGCGCGTGGGCGCACAGCTTGGATGCCGCCGCGCGCGAGGGCGCCCCGTGAGCTGGCGAGCGGCGGCATCCAGGTCGGACGAGGACGGGGAAGAAGAGGAACAGGAAAAGGAAAACGGAGAATGGGGGGGGGACAGGGACAGGGGTCGGGAGGGGGCGGAGGGGGGGGAAGGCGTGAGGGGAGGACGGAGTGGGTGCGCGCGTGTGGCGGCATCTGGGTTCTGCAGCGCGCGTGGCGGCACTCGGCGGCGCGTTCCCGTCATCCCCGCGGGCGCGCGCGGCAACGTCCATGTCGGACGGGGGCGGGGGAGGATGAGTAAGCGGAGAGGGGATGGGGGGAAAAGGACGCGTGGAGGGCAAACGGGATAAGTAGGAGGACGACGAGGGCGTTGGCGTCGCGGCGCGCGTCCAACCTTGAAAGGCCCAAATCCACGTCGCGTTGGCGCCGCGCCTTGTCGCCTGACCCCGTCTACACATACATATATATATATATATATATATATATATACGCTGAATCAGCGTTTTCGCGTTCGCCCCGTGAGCCCCCCTCTAGCAGCAACAGGCTCACGGTGGATCCCAACTGTCGATACCACGGCGGGGCGCCCTTGGCCACCGCCCGCACGCCGCCGACGGAACAATGATTGGACACCAGCGGGACACCAGGGGGACGCCACAGGAGACCGCGGCGGGCCACCACGCGACCACCAAGGGCGGAAGGGCAGTCCACTGCATCCGAATCTCCCTAGCGACGGCGCCCACGCATCTTCGCGTCGCCCGCGTGCACGACACGAACGCGAAATCGAAACCGATTTTCCGGGGGGGGGCTCTCCGCTTCATTGCGATATCATCCCCCAATTTTCGATCCACTCCTCCCCTCAGTGAAGGCAGCGTGGGGGGCGAATTGAGGGGCTAGAATAGGTGCTGCTATTCATGTCGGTCATGGGCCTGCGGTTGATCAGCTGAGGTTGGTTGCTCTGGTGTCGGACATGCTGCCAGCGTGCTTTCAATCTGGTGGTTGAGCGGAAGAGGCAGATAGCAAGACGTCATTGAACGTCCCTGAGCAGTCCAGGGCTAGGGGTTGCTGCTGCTACGCTGTGAGTTGCGCTCTTGAGTTGGGGCCATGCTTCAGGTGCATTTGCATAGTGGCGGCGCAATGACGAGGAGGGACGGAGTTGAAACGAGAAGGGGCCAGGTGCAAAGAAACGGACATAATATTGACTGGTTCTGGGCAGAGCTGCAGAGCGGCTCCTGTACCCGTCCTTGTCTGTGCCGGCCCCCAATCCCAGCATGCGAGCTTAGGTGAATGCCACGTAAAAATGCATGCGAGCAATGGAGACGGTGGTGTCAGGGCGGTTCCATTTGCCACGGTTGACGTGGCTTTCGCCAGTCAGGTGGCGGTAACTCTGTCTTCTCGTTCCTTTGCTGTGCCCCATCCATCCCGCCGCCCACGAGAGAGGAGGAGTAGGTTAGATGGTGACAGGTGGGAGGAGCGGAGGCTAAGGTGGAGGTGAACACGAAGGGGTGAAGGTTGGGTAGGGCCCTCCCAGGACCAGTGGACAGGAGGTTCTTCGTGTTGCTACCTCCGAGGTCCCAGCTGGTAGCTGATGATTAAGGCTCCTCCAAGGAGGCGCATGAGAGAGCTCTATCCACCAGTCGGATGTGGGTTGCGCTCTCGCGGTGCATTGATGAGTAGCATACGAGGGTGAAAACGCAACGCCGGGTGTGGGAGCCCTGTCTCACTGCGGACCCATTGGGTAGCATAGCCTGTTGTCGATGTAGCCGCCGTAGGTGAATTCGAATAATGTGGGCGGTGTGCTTGGCTCGCTGAGACTGGAGCGTGCCGTCGCCAAGAGGTGGACGTTCATAATAATACAATGCATGGCCAGGTTTTTCTGCTGCTGCTGTCAAGACAGTGAGCGCGGCGATGCGATGCGAGACTAGCGCCAAGGTCGGAGATAGGAAAGGGAAGTTGAGTGTGCAAAAGTAGGAGATCTCGATCGTCTGCGGTCGTTGGAGCAAAACTGGTGATTGTATGTAGGATTGATGCGCTGATGGGCCTCCGTAAGGCAGGTCCCGTCTTGGCATACGGTTGTGTGCGGCTTATCCGCCCAGCTATGGGAAGCCAGGAAATGGGGTCTGTCTTTGCAGAGAATATTGGGTGGATGGACCATGCGGGATGGGCCAGTGTAGGCCATGCCAGGCGAGGGTCTCCCGCTATGTCGGTGACGTCCCCCCTTTTTTTCCTCCTCGAAGCTCGAAGCTGTCGGCATGTCTGTCCTCGCGGGACTGGTGCCGTGGACTTTCCTGGACGTTCGTCCAAGGTTGTCAGAGAAAAAAAGGTAAGACAACCAATAGGTCAGGAGGACAAGTAACGTCTTCCTCCTGTTCCTCCTCCTGCGGCGCAGTAGCCTAGCAGGAGTGCCGCGGTCCTTCACTCGCTTAGCTCTGCCAGTGAGTAACGTGCATACTTGAGGCTCGCTCGCCTCCTCCTCTTCTCTCCCCGTCCTCCTTGCTCTTGGCTCCCTGCCCCCGCCGGGAGCGACGGCCACGCCAGAGGTGGCGCGCACGCGCATCGCCAGCCAGGAATTTCGCCAACCGCAGAAGCTGGAGGAGCTGATGGAGCAGGCGTCGCCCCCCCTGGGCCGAGATCGCCACTGTCCAGAACGCGCACGCACAGCAGTCGAGATGATGAGGAGGAACAGGCGAGTTGGGCAGGGAGAGGGAGCGAGGGAGAGTGGGGTCTTCCGCCCTCTTCGCGCCCCTCTCTTCCCGCCCTGGCCCTGCTTCCTTTCCCATGCAGGCCTCCCAAATGGGGCCCGAGTAGTGGGGCCACGAGACGCGTGAGTGGTGAACCGAAATGGGTGGGGCGGACTCGTACGAACGCCGGCACTTGGGCCTTCGGTGGCGCTTCGGTATGGGGCCACGAGGCGTTTGGGGTTATGCCGAAATTGGCGGGGCGGGCGCATGCGAACACCGCCGCTGGGGGTTGCCGGTGGACCTTCCTGTGGGGCCAGGAAACTCGAGAAGGTTGTGCCGAGATGGGTGTGGTGGGCGTATGTGAACGCAGCAATCGGGGCCGTCGGTGGAGCTCCCAAGGCTCGTGGGCCCACGAAGCGTACGAGGGGTGGGTCGACGTGGGTGCAGTGGGACCATGCGAACGCAACCAATGCGGCATTCGGTGGAGCTCCTTATGGGGCCACGAAGCGTGTGCACGGTGTGCCGACATGTGTGCGGTGGGCGTACGCCAACGCAGCCATCAGGGCCTTCGCTTGAGCCCCCAATGTGGCCACGAAACGTGTGTGTGGGGTGTGGGGAAATGGGTGCAGTGGGCGCGTGCGAACGCAGCCACTGTGGCCTTGGGTGGGTTTCCCCGTGGGGCCACGGAACGTGTGAAGGGTGTGCCGAAATCCGTGCGGTGGGCGCGTGTGGACACATCCGAGTGGGCCTTCGTTGGGGCCCCTTTATGAGGCCGCTGAACTTGTGAGGGGTGTGCCGGAATGGGTGCGGTGGGCGCGTGCGAACGCAGCCATTGGGGCCTTCGGTGGAGGTCCCGGTGGGGCCACGGAGCGCGACAGTGGTGTGCCGCAGTGGGTGCGGTGGGCGCATGCGAACGCAACCGAGTGGGCCTTCGTTGGAGCTCCCTATGGGACCACGGAACTTTTGAGGGGTGTGCCGAGATGGTTGCGGTGGGCGCGTGCGAACGCAGCCATAGGGGTCTTCGGTGGAGGTCCCCGTGGGGCCACGGAGCGCGACAGTGGTGTGCCGCAGTGGGTGCGGTGGGCGCATGCGAACGCAACCGAGTGGGCCTTCGTTGGGGCTCCCTGTGGGGCCACGGAACTTGTGAGGGGTGTGCCGAAATGGATGCGGTGGGCGCGTGGAAGTGGAGGTCCCCATGGGGCCACGGAGCGCGAGAGAGGTGTGCCGAAATGGGTGCGGTGGGCGCGTGGAAGCGCAACAGCTGGGGCAGTCGGTGGAGCTCCCGATGGGGCCATAAAGCGTGTGAAGTGTGTGCCGAAGTGGCCGCATTGGGTGCATGCGAGCGCAACCGCTGGAGCAGTCGGTGGAGCTCCCCATGGGGTCGCGATGCGTATGAGAGGTGTGCCGACATGGGCGCGCTGGGCCCATGCAGACGCAGCCGCGGGGGTTCCCCATGGCCCTGTGGGGCACGAAACGAATGAGGGGAGTGCTGAAATGGGTGCGTGGCGCGGAGGGCAGAGGCGATGATGGGAAAAAGGGAGGAGCGGGAAAAGGAGGACGAAATGGGACGCAAGGCGCTGCCCCTTGAACACGAGGAGCCAACACGACATGATGATCGGGAAATACAGAGGAGGAGCACGTCACTGAAGTCGTCGCTGTCGTCGTCGTTACCGCGGTTACTGTCTACGAGGACTTTTCCTCACATCCAGATGCTCACAGACACATGTCCTAAGCGAGACGCGACAGGAGTGCGAAATGCACACATGAGGATATCCGCATCGAGCATCATTTAAGCTAAAGGCGTGCTGGCTTGTGTGTTGTTCAAGGGAAAGGCCAATTCCGCAAGGAGGACCCGCGCGTTAAGACATTATCAAATTGTTGACGCTTCGCGAATCCCCACCAGCCCATCCAGAAACGATGCCCAGAGGAATGGTCTCGATCAGGGAAGTGGGCAGCACACAGAGGAAGCCATTCTGAGACATCTTGGGATATCTTGAGCCATAATGGAGGTCATTTTGGGCTCTCCCAGGCGCTCTTAGAGTCATCTTAAGCAGTGCCCCCCCCCAAGAGGCCAACATGTGGCTAAAACCTTAGTGAAATCAGTGATTTGGCATTCTCGCCGAGGCCTCTTGGAGCATCTTGGGTGCCTCTGGGGGGTCTCTTGGGGCCTCTTGGGGGTCTCTTGGGCGCCTCCTGGGGGCCTCTTGGGGGCATCTTGGGGCCATCTTGGGGCCATCTTGGGACCTCTTGGGGCCTCCTTGGCGCTTCTTGGGGCCATCTTGGAGGAGATCGATCAAACAAGAGGTGAGCTTCAATTATGGTCCCCCCTTCAGGAGGCCAAAATGGGGCCAACACCTTGGTAAGACCAATGATTTTGGCTTCCCCGCCGAGTCCGTTTTGGACGCCCTGGCACCTCGCGACCCCCCCCGTCCGGGTCCCGGGGAGGGGGTAGGGGGAGGGGTAAACCCTTCCCCGAAAGGGGAAGTCGGAGGGGTGGAAGAGGAAACTCTCTAAACCACCGACGGCCAGAAGGCTGGTGGGATTTTCACGCTTCGCGTATCCTCACCAGTTCCGCAGCCTGGTTCAAGCCATCCGGCGGGAAACCCGCCGCTCGAGGGGGCGCCCGACGCAGCGGCCGCGCGGCCAGGCCCGCCCCTGCCCGCCAGCCACGCCGCCATCACTGGGCGCTCCCCTGGCGGCAGCCGCCCCCCACCCTCAGCGGTTTCGCCTCTAGCGCCATGGAGTGGGGCCGGAACCTCGGGGACCACGGGACGGAGGACTGTCCAGAGTTAGTGCAGGGTTTGGGGGACCTGACGCTGCCAAGGGACCAAGCAGCGCCCGCCTCTCTTGGATCCGGACATCCACCATGTCAGCACACCCCAGCGGATGGTGACACAGGTCGGGACCGCCCTGCTCGCATCGGGCAGGCTTCCGAACCCCCCAATCCGTAAGGGCTTCGCCCCCTGCCGCCGGCCCCCTCTCTCGGAGAATGGGCCATGGAAGAGCTAAGTCATGAGGCCTTGGCGCTGTCGTGAAGCAGAATCGAAACTTCATGCGAAGCCGACTCGCAATCAGCAAAACCAATTGATCAATCACAAGAGGGGTGACCACACCTGGCGATTGGTAAGACGTGTATGGTTTACGGGCTTGGTTACCACACCTTGCGATTAAAGGGCCGAGGGAGTTCTCGCAGTTTGGGTCATCACGCCTTGCGATGGATGTGCGTGAAGGGTGGCACCGAATTTCAGAAATGTGCCAAATCCTTTGTGTTCTTGGACCCTGCCCCCGCTGATCTGCGTAAGGGGTGGCGCCGAATTTCAGAAATGTTGCAAATCCCTCGTGTTTTTGGACCCCGGCCCCGCGGATCTGCGTGAGGGGTGGCACCGAATTTTAGAAATTTTGCAAATCCTTTGTGTTTTTGGACCCTGACCCCGCGGATCTGCGTGAGGGGTGGCACCGAATTTCAGAAATGTGCAAATCCCATATGTTTTTGGACCCTGACCCCGCGGATCTGCGTGAGGGGTGGCACCGAATTTCAGACATGTGGCAAATCCCATGCGTTTTTGGACCCTGACCCCGCGGATCTGCATGAGGGGTGGCACCGAATTTCAAAAATGTGCAAATCCCATGTGTTTTTGGACCCTGTCCCCGCGGATCTGCGTGAGGGGTGGCGCCGAATTTCAGTAATGTGGCAAATCCCATGTGTTTTCGGACCCTGGCCCAGCGGATCTGCGTGAGGGGTGGCACCGAATTTCAGAAATGTTGCAAATCCCATATGTTTTTTTAACCCTGGCCCCGCGGATCTGCGTGAGGGGTGGCACCGAATTTCAGAAATGTGGCAAATCCCTCGTGTTTTTGGACCCTGACCCCGCCGATCTGCGCGAGGGCAATTCAGACAACGCGCCCAGGAGGTGCTAAATATTTGGTTTGGGCCTCCCCCCCTCGCGCGGTCAATCAACTGGTTGCAGTAACCAGCAAGAAGCAGAACTGGAACACTGGAAACTACAAGCTGCAACTGGCACAGGAAATTGCGAACCCGCGCCTACAAGCCTGGTGGCCTCACAAGGGGGCCGGCGGATATTGTTGGAGCGGCCCGCAGCACTGCTGACCCGCCCGTGGCCGATCGATCCGATCCAACCACACTGGTACATGCAACCGTCAGCTGCCCCTCCCAGTCAGATGATCGCGGATCGGATCATGCCTCTGGCCGCGGCCACGACGACGATCATAATGCACCAGCGACTGGCCGTTAGTCTCCCCCCGCACAGATGACGACGACGATCAGTTTTCACTGGTGCTTGTGGTCGTTAGCCACCCCCCTGCTGCAGCAGTTGGCCGCATGATGCACATGGCGGACTATAATGGCCCCCCCAACGTGGATCGCCGAAGGCAGCCTCCTGCTCCAGCAACAGTGACCGTTAGCCGCCCCCCAAAGAAGAGGCGGCGCTGCAGGTGCCAGAATCACCAGTGCTTGCGGCCGTTTGCCACACCCCTGGCGCCGACGGCAGCGCGTTGTTCATGGCGGACGACCAGCACCCCCCTGGGCGTGGAACGCCGAAGGCATGCTCTTTCTCCAGTGATTGTGGCCGTTGGCCACTCCCCCAGCAGAGACCTGACGGCGCTGCAGATGCCTGACGCCTGCCCCCACATGCCGGAGGGGCCAGTCCGTCAAGCCCCAGCAGAGGCCCCCCCGCGCGGAGGATTCTCGCCCTGATTCCCGCCGCGTCCGACCGACCTGCGCGCGCCTGACCGTCCGCCATTTCTCCTCTTATCTCCGCTTCCCACTCTCTGCTCAGGGGCTCAAACCCCCCGCGCGGCGAAGAACCGTTTCATCCTGGCATCTCTCCCTCCGCGCCTCCGGGCTCTCCCAGTCGCGCGCAGGGCGAGAACCCGCTAGCTGCGCGCCCGCCACTGCAAATGCTGACGCC